ATTTCCTTTACCTTTTTTTCTATATCGTGTGTACCGAGAGAAAATCGTTCTTTTCGTTTTACTATATATCATATTATACTATAGACATAAATATATATTGAAATTTAAACATTTTCTGAAATTTCGAGATACTATCGTCCTACGGCGTTGTTGCGTTTGAATATATCTAGGTAGAGGAAGTTTCGTTCAGTCGCTCTTCTCCCTCGAATATTCTCGGATCGTACTTCATTCTCCGTGGTTTGACGGAAGTACCATCCAGAATTGGCCGCAATTTTGACAAACCCTTCTCTATGTCACGCGCATATAGGAAGAGGAGACGTGCGAGCATGTACGCGATGTAACGCACGTATAATCCATATATATATATATATTTATATATACATATATATATATGTATATATATATATATATATATATATATATATATATATATATATATATATATACATACATAGATGCGTCGCATCGTATATTGTAATATCCATTTTCCAATCGAGATGGAACGTCACGAGCATTGCTGCGATCCTGGGACGTCAACCGTAACGCGCACGTAATTACCATTGCTACCTGAGGGTGTTCCGTGCGTTCAATGAAACCGACAAATATGCATGACTCGTCCTGAATTTTCCACGTCCCTTGCAAATTCTATTTCTGCTTTTCGTTCCGAATTCGAATGAAAAATTTTCGTACCATTCGACATGTCTTTCAGTTTCTCTCAAATCCTACGAAATTTAATCTTATATCTGCTTCCATACATCTCCCCTATTGACATCTAATTATGTCACTTAATAATAAAAATAATATATATATATATATTACACATAAAATAAAATATACAACAGCAATGTATTATAAAATTGAAATTTTCGATAAATATTTTCCGCATTTATAATACATATTTATCAGGAGGGAAGCCTGAAAAGGGTAATACTTTGAGTTTGAGCCATCTTGTTTAATATGGCTTTATTACATAGGTGGTAACGAACCGCCGGGAGGCCATTATGCGGCGATAAAATGCGTGCTGCACGTTACACGTTATGTATGTACATCGTACATACACACGTACTCAGTTACATTAGCTACAACCCATTTCTCCGTCGAAATCGGCACATGCGCCACAATTTACATGCTCGCGTGCGCGCGCGCACACGAACGCTAACGCACGCTAGCATGTAACCTAGCGGCTACTTTATTCTACAGTTCGACGTTCACGTTCGAGCTTGTATGCGGTCATGTAACGCATCCGATAATCGTTATTCGTAATTACTCGATATTCGATCGCCTTTTTGGCGATGTTTATTTTTTTCTTTCTTTCTTTCTCTCTCTCTCTCTCTCTCTCTCTCTCTCTCTTCTTTTCCCTTTGTAATGTACATCATTAAAAAATAAAATATTAATTATTAATTTTTTCTAATATACCTGGTTGATCGTGCGTAAGATCATAAAGGTTATGAATATATTTTAAAATTTGAATACAATTTACGGGCAGAGAATTATTTTCGGCTTGATTTATTTTTTTTTCCTTTTCCATTATTTTTCTTTTTTCTTTCAATATTAATGTAATTGGATTTGTAATTAAATATGATTAAAGCGTTATAGAATATTATGTAAATAAACTTGATTTAAGTATTCAAGGATTGAAGTGAATATATAAAAGAAAGTTCAATTAGGATTTATTTTTTTTTTTTATTTTCTATAGATCATAGTTTCTTTTATTTATTGATTTTAAATTATCTAATATAACTTTTTCACATATGATATTATTTCATTTAATATTAGAAATTAGATTATCATTTAGTTTAGAGAGTAGTTAGAGAGATAGTATAAATTTGAAATTTATTATTAATCGAAGAAATTAGAAAACTCATCGCATCTATATTGTCACTTGATGTCCATTTTTCATTTGAAATAAAAAGAAAAAAAGACAAAGAAGTAGTAGTAGTAGAAGAAGAAGAAGAAGAAGAAGAAGAAGAAGGAGAAAAGAATAATGTTTCTTTCGATATGTCACAGAATATCGATATCCCTTTATTTCGAGATAATTCCGTAGCCGTCCCTTAGGAAAGGGGCCCACCCATTCCTACGTTCAGTAGCAGACCCATGGAGACTCCTCTCGTGGCGACCCTTGTCATCCTCTCGAAAACGCTTTATCCTTATCGTGGTAGGAACACTTCCTTTCTGCCGCGTCGCAAGGAGCAGCAATTCCAGGCGGAACCGACGTTCATTCCACGTCGCCATTTTTCTTCGGCATCGCGAGAACGTTAACCTAAGGAGGGTTGGTGGTATGAGTATAGGATAGAAAGGGATGACTTTCTGTGGAAGGGGATGCTGGTAAAGGGGTGATAGTGTCGGAAGTAGTATTAGTATTAGTATTAGTAGTAGTAGTAGTAGTAGTAGTAGTGTGGGAGGTGGAGGATGAGTGAGAGAGAAAAAGCGAGAGAGAGAGAGAGAGAGAGAGAGAGTGGTAGTGAAAAGAGGGACGAATAGAAGAGGGTTCTGAGGAAGAGTACGTGTCCCGTATTTTTCTTTAAACTCGCGCTCGCTACCGAAATGTCGGGTGTCGTTGGCGGAAGACGGGATGATGCACAATAGGGGTGGGTGATGAGGAGTGTGTGAGTGGGTGAGGGACAGAGGGTACTTTCAGTAGTGAGAGAAAGAGAGAAAAAGAAAGAAGGAACCGTTGAATTTGGTTATGCGTTGCCACGTACCGGTTGGATTTGTCGGCGTCACACCTCTTGACGGGAAACGATGCTCTTTCGAACTCCAGTGAGAGAAAACATACGCGTCTCTTCTCTCTCTCTCTCTCTCTCTCTCTCTCTCTGTCTCTGTCTTTATCTATCTATCTATCTCTCTTTCTCTTTTCTTTTCTCTTTTATCCTCTTCTTCTCTGGAAAGGAACGTGCAAATAAATTTTTCATCCCGTTCCATTTTATCCGCGTGAAAACCGTCGTGCGTATTCGTTCGAAGAATTTCACGAATCAAATTCTTCTTCGATTTTATCCGACCGTATCCTTTGTGATTCGAATTCACTCGAAATTTCACGATTCCATTGGTTTTACTTCAGTATTACGCAATCATACGTATAAAAAGTAACTATGTTGTATTAATAGATGTAATTTAGTTAGTTAGTTTGTAATATTTTTTACGTCACTTATCTCATTTATATGTACATATCGACATATATATATATATATAGTAAATATATACTTGTATACTTATATAATGTATATACTTAATTGTGTAAGTACGTAGATAAATCTTCTACATTTGTCGACAGTCACATCGATCACAGGCTATAAATCGTTCGTATTTACGCGAACATGGGAAGTCATGAATTTTTGTTTGTTTTTGCTTTTGTTCAAAAGAACCGTACCGTGAAATTTTTCGTAAACTTTTCTATTTACTTCGATATCGTAAATTACGAACATCTCTCGCACCCTTCTGTCTCTAGGGGTACCGAGTTTAAAACGTAGTTTCGATGTCTATTCTTGATTCTTCGGTGGGATGTAAGACGGGATTGGGGTGGGATAGGGTGTAAGAATGAAAGAAAGGTAGAAGCAAACTTTCTCGCTCGATTTGTACTTCAATAGCGTTGGTAGTAGTATACCGGAGAGAAAACCTAAGAAAGTGGTAGAGCAAGTGAGAAATATAGAACAGGAAAGTGAGAGAGAGAGAGAGAGAGAGAGAGAGAGAGAGAGAAAGAGAGAAAGAGAGAATGTGCAGCTTTAATATAACTGCTGACACCTTCGATAGCCAAGCTCTTCTGACTTTCCGCACGAAGTAGTTCTTTCGTCGACGTGAAAATTGGGTTGCGTCCACTCGAGGTTCATCCCTTTAAGGTCGTTGGGTGGTGTGAACTAAAAGGAATAGAAGAGAAGAGTAGACGAGGGAGAAAGGGAGAAGGAAAAAAAGAAAGAGAAAGAGAAAGGGAGAGAAAACGATTGTTCGAGGTTGGTTTCGAAGTAAGAGCAAAAAGAAGAGAATTCGATAGACGTGGAAGAAAAGAGAAAGAGAGACAGAGAGAAAAGTTCTAACAGTTTTAAAGAGGGGGATAGTATACAGAGAGTCGTTTCGTTTGTTATTGCAAGTCCGATGAACGATACAATCACTGTCTCTTTCTCCCTCTCTCTCTCTCTCTCTCCCTCTCTTTCTCTTTTTCTCTTTCTCTTTCTTTCGATCTTCATTTTCTCCTCTCACTTATTCGTACGGAAAATGTAACGAACGAGTCTAGCGAAACTCCACAGGGGGTTCGTAACCTTTCGCGCACTCTCCGATCTCTACGATCCCGTCCAGCAACCCTTCCATCCCTCTCGGCATCATCCTCGATGTTTTCTCCTTCTCCTCTCTATCTACATCGCCTAGCTTGTTAAGCTCGGTAACGTTGCGCCACAGGTGGTGACTCTCCATTGTCTCTTCTCTGACATAGCCTCATCAACGTCGGCCACCTTCTATATTTCTATATGGCTTATTTACGGGTTAATAATATAGTCTTATTTCTTTCGTCAGTCATATCTCTCTCTCTCTCTCTCTCTCTCTCTCTCTCTCTCTCTCTCTGTTTCTCTCTCTCTTCGAATGATATCTATTATTATTTTTTGTTTGTTTGTTTATTTTCTATCCAAACGTCAACAAATTTTAATGGATCAAATTTTAATCGCTATCATATAATTTTCTCAAAATATTTAAACAATATATGCTTTGGTTTATTTGAAATGAAAATTAAAAAATTAAGACAAACGATTTCTTTGATTCTAAAAAAATATTATAATACAAGATATATAAGAATAACAAATAAAAAGATATACAAAGAAGAATAACAAAAAAAACGTAGGTTGTTTGTTCGTTGAAAAAAAAAAAAAAAAAGAAAAAAGTAAAAGAAAAAGAAAAACAAAGAAAAAAAAAGTAAAAGGACATACATAAAGTATACTTAATTTAAGAGTTATATCCATTATAGATAGAATGAATCGAGATGAGTAAATAATCGATTGGCTATTATGATTCTGTTACAG